CCATCCGACGCCGCCAGGTAGCACCTCAGACTGCTCAGACTGTCCAGGAGCTCAGTGATGCCCTGGTCCAGATCTGGGAGGAGATACCCCAGGACGCCATCGGTCGTCTCATTAGGAGCATGCCCTGATGTTGTCAGGCATGCATACACGCACATGGGGGCCATACAAATTACTGAATACCATTTTGAGTTGGTGCAATGAAATTTCAGCAAAATGGACTAGCCTGCTGCATCATTTTTTCACAGTAATTTTTGGGGCGTCTTTGAATTTAGCCCCCTGTAGCTTGATCATTTTCATTTCCATCAAATTATGTGGCATCCTTTTGTTCCTAACACATCACCCAGTCCATATGGGTATAAATAAACAGCATTATTTTTTCCCCCCCATTGAGATCTGATGTGTTTTCAAAGTGTTCCTTTAATTTTTTTGAGCAGTGTATATTTTATTAGTAGGTAGTCCATCACGAGCCACACTCCATACCAGTAAGTGGCGGTAATGATAGTAAATGTTTGTTGCCAACCGCCAATAAATCCAAGATGAAGAAGAAAAAGAAGAAGAAGAAACCAAAGAAAGACACAAAAAGAAAGAAGTGAAATCTAAGTGAAATATGATATAATTTATTTACTTAATTATTATAATTTTATTTCATTTATTTTTATCTTATTTTATCTTATAGCATCCCTAACCATACTCCATTCCAGTAGATGGCGGTAATGCGCGTCAATTAGTTGCTTGCCCACCACCATAAAAAAAAAGTAGAAGAAGAAGCGAAAGCCTAAATAAACAAGGCAGAAAGATATGCAGACCAACAAAAAACACCTTTGGACATAGCAAAAGAAATTAGAAGAACCGGGAAAATTGTGAGTTATCGTTTGATATTTCACTACCGACTTTTTTTCTTCGTTTTGCAGTCTCAAAATCTGGAACAAGCAAGATTGTTACTGTCTTTGATGTGTAAAATCATCGTCCCCGGAGTTAAAAAAAAGAGAATTAAAACCAAACTGTTTTCACATTGACATGCCTTGTCGAGTAATCGGCCTGTTATAAAATCATAAATGTGAATGAACACTAAGTTGCTTTGTTGAGGATGTATTACACTGGGAGAGTTCTAGACCGTTAGCTGTGAAGTTTGATGTGCACGCACATGTTTGTGGCGTTTAGAACAACTAATGCCATAAAAGAATATTTCTGTTATGTTGAAAATCATCTATAACTATCCTCAGTAACCCTAATGTGAAAAGCTTCAGTTTTCAGTTTATAACTGATATTGACCTGTATTTACCCATTTTATTTTCTCTGCTTTTTTCTTACTGCTTCAAATGTCATGTTGTATGTGCTGCTTTATGGTATTTGGCTGTCTGTCTAGGTTCCCTGATGAAGGATGTTATCTGCTGGGTTGGGTCCAACTGAAAGCAGCAATATGGACCCAAAGATTTCCCTTTCAGAGGTAAGGAAAACTGTTATTTTAATTTTTTTTTTATTTCAGAATCTAATTAAATGTATAGTGGAGGATGTTCTTTTCCCAGGTGGATCCTCCTAATTGTCATTCATTCTGGTGATATGTTTACATAAGGCCGTCCTACGTGCTCGTCCCTATTTTCACTTATTGGTGAAGAGGCTGACATGGTGGGAAAAACTGCAAAACTTCTTTTGGAAAGAAAGCTTGTATGAGCAATGCAAACAGCAACTTTTAAACAGAGCGTGAATGTGGAGAAATGGGCTTGTACATGCTCTTGCACGCGTTTAATAGACGTTCCCTCTCAGGAGCAGGTACAGGGTTCTGGATGTCCTTTTATTTAAGTGGAGAGGGCGGGTCATTTCAGAAATTTGTGAAAATCCTCCATTATACCTTTAATTAAAAAAGAATTAAGCCAACCTGAGAAAACGATGCATGCATTCCATTTAACAGCTGACAAGATATTTTGGAACCATTAATTTTCATTTTTTGGTGGCCTTGTGTGTTTTTACAGGTACAAACTCTGATTGAACAGGAGGTTCAAAAAGCATTGGCCGACAAAGACAGAGAGGTTGAGAGTGTTATACAACACCTTCAAGACACATATGAAGAAACCAGCTTTGAAATGTCGATTCAGAGACTAGAGGTGGGGAGGAAAATATATATTTTTTGTCTCTATTTTAAGTTTAAGATCTGTTTCTTGAATATTCTGTGGTTTTCTTTTTTTTATTACCTAAAATGCAATCCATCAGTCAGCTTTTATGCATCTATTTCTTTACAAGAAAACTAATATTTAATTGTGTTTAACTTCTGTGACTGATTTTTCTTGTTCCACTGAACGTTACCCTCATTGTTTTTGTGTTTTAAATATTTAATCAATTATTAAGTCCTTTGAAGTCTTGATACCACTTGATCTTTTCCATGTTTTATCAGGTTATATCAACCTTTTTCACTGGATTTATGTTGTATTAAGGGCATCCAGATATCTGCCTTATTGTCAACTTAATTAATTTTGGACATAGTTTGTGCTGAAGGCCTTCATCATAACTTTAGATTGTTGAGATAAAAAAAATAGTGCTTTAAATGACTGACTTTCCTAACTAGCAGCAAAAAGCTCTATGAGCCATTTTAAATCTTGCATTTAATTTAGATTTTGGGTGATATAAGGTGGGAAACTATTCATCCAGTGCAACAAGAGAGCTGCTTACTTCCTTCCACAGAGTTCTCTTTATTCTGGTTAGAACAGCTAAAAACATTACTTTCCTTTCCTTTGAACCTTCTGTTAAACTTTGAAAAGCTTGGCTTTGCCCCAATTTATAGTGTACAGAAATTTCTTTATAAGTTTCTGTAAAATTCATATTTAAATCACACATAATTTTGTCCTTTTGCTTAAGATTTTGACAAAGCTATACTTTTTTTGCTGCAAAAAATGGTGTCCCACTTCCAATTATAGATGTCCCACTTGAACAATATAGTGTCTCCAAAAATCCAACTTTAGGGCAACAGCGTTTAAGGATAATATAAAATCTGTGTTTAGAATGTCTCTAGTTATGTGAAGATCCAGAGGTTTATAAAAATATATCATGACTATAGCTATAGAAATGAAATATGCTGATAGGCCAAAAATGACCTCCCCTCTCGCACGCGAAGGAGAAAATGGAAATATGAATGAAAAGAGAACGTCCTAATGTTTATTCTATTTCTTATGCATGGACGCCCTAAAATTGCACAACACGACATCGGCATCTTTATAGCTGCATCCATGTAAGCATGTCACGTTCAATGTTGTATTTTCAAAGTACGCCTTCACAGGTTGGAAGACTGATTTGTTCTTGCCCAAAGATATACATCCACGCTAAACTATCAAAGTGAAAGTCGTCATTAGTAAAGACCCAGCTTCTGACTGAGAGCATAGATCAACGGCGATATATTTTAATTGTCCAATAAGAGTCTGGCCTTTATGTCGGACGTTAACGCCGATAACGGCCCACCACTAGTTTAGTTTGTAGGTATTGAAATATGTTTTGGTTCATTAAACCTTTCCCTTCTTTATGTGAAATGTTTCAGGTACTTCCATTTTAAAATTAGTTTTTAAGATTAGTTTTGGTAGGGTAATACCTCATGACTCGATTGAATATTTATTCAGCTTCAGACTAAAGTGTCAATATTGTGTTTCTGATTTTAGACTTGGAGACTTAGACAAACTTTATTGTCAGTGTGTATGCACAGATTGCAAAACAAAATTGTTTGAGATTACAGTTGAAATAAAAATAACATTAAAATATAAAGTGCAGCAGTGATAAGAATGTAACAGTAATTATGTATGCATATACATATGCATCCTAAATGTTATAACTAACATTTAGGAAACCTCTAAGGGCTGGGCTGTACTGAAAGATTTCAATTGGAAATGTTAACGTATTTTAGAAGAAAAATTGCAGTTTCTGCTGTGAATGAATTAGGCCTCGTCCCAAATTAAACCTCACAACAAGTAGCTAAGATTGCTTAAGGACAAAGGACATTCGTTCGAGGACCACAATGTTCACATTTTGGAAAATGATGTTGTCACAACACCATCTGGTTAGCATGTTAAGCTTAATGCCTCAGCGGTTGGATCAAGATTTTAACATGAAAAAAGCAATGCTACACGCACAAGGCCTACAAGGCGTCATGCATTCAAATCTCATTATTCACATCATTTTTGAGGATACACTTTCATTAAAAAAATTTTATTACAGGGCTCACATTTCATTTTTTCATTTATTGTTTATTTGAAAGGGGACAGTGTACATTAATCAACATTAAAACAATGTAAATATACCCGAGTTAGCTAAGGAGTGCTAATTTTCATCGGCACATACCTGTGTTGATACATCTAATTTTGGGTTCGAAAATATTTGACTTTGCTCCACAAATCCCTTTGCAGATTCTAAAAAAAGCTTTTAAGACGCCCTTTTTTCTTCGACTTTTGCTTCCATATTTTGTTACTGAGTGACTTTCAGTGCATATAATTTTATATGTGAAAAATACTACACTTCACAAATGCCTCTGCAGTTAAACTATACATCAGTTCAATAATTAATTTTCAATGGAAGCTCTTTGTGTTTGACTTGAATTGTCTTTTGCTGCTGTTAATTAAAGAAAAAGACCACTTTTTTGTGATGACATGAAAAAAATAAAAATTTTAAGAGCCAAAACCTCTTGTTTCTGTTATAGATAACCCAGAGAAACTAAATAATTTCTTTTTCATAGCTGTATTCATCACAAGCCCCAGATTGAATCTGTATCGGTCATGAAAAGCAGAAAATTATCGGTTATCAGTATGAAATTGTTACTATCGTGCATCGCTATTTATTTTTTATTTATTTTTTTATGCAATAAGTCCCAAAATACATTAACTAGAAAGATTAAAGAGGAGATAATAAAGAGATGATATTTCATAAATTTCACTTTAAATTGCCTGTTGTTTACTGAATCATTTCTTTCTTCAGAATCGAATCAATGCAGTAGCCAGGAGAGCAGAGGTGGCCCTCTCCTACATAGCAAAAAATCAAAAACAGGTTTGTATAAATTATCTATAAATTATCTATAATTTAAGTTTATTGATTGGTGATTCTGTATAAAGGTATTTTAATCTAAATATTAAAATAGCAGTATTTTTCAAAGAGCGTATCTTATCTTCCACATCCTTGTAGAGTCCTCCATCTTCCACAGATAATACCAACATCCTCAGGTATGTGGGACTTCTTTACTTCCTAATCCATATAATGAATACATTGAATGTTTTGATTTGAATTTATTTTGAAGTAAAGAGATGTGTTGTTAACCTTTTAGTGAAAGCCCACAGCATGACCATGTTAAAGCTACGCCAGAGAGTAAGAGCTCAATAAGTTAATTTAAGGAAAGTATTCATTTTAGAATGTGCTCGTTTTTACTTTCTGTTTTGTTTTAACCATTACAGATAGAAAGGGACCAACCTATAAAACAACAAGTGGAACTATTATCAAAATGATGGTAAATATATGTCATTCTGAACAATTAATTTGTGTTAAGTCTTGCACTAAATTAGTTTCAAAAGGATCGGTGCAACTTTTTTTTTTTTTTTTTTTCAATCAGCAGCTTAATTTTGCCTGTTTACTCATATAACCACATAGTGATGGGTGATTATATAACTGAGGTATATATTTTGATGTTAAGTATGAAAGTGTCATCTTAAATGGTATTCAAGTATTTTCTTTATGGCATGATATGCAAAATTTCACCAATTATTTTTTGAGTGTACAACTCTAGGTTTACTAAATGCAAAGGCATAGACATTGGGTTAACAAATTTAAATGTAAGCTTTCACACAGGTGTGAAAAGCTGTAGAAAATGACTACATACATTTGGGGAAAATTAAAAAAAATTAACAGAGCAAAGGTGAAAAAACATAATATGAACATTCTCAAGACAGGTGGATATTGCACTAAACCCTTTTATTTGACCCCTGAAATATGAACTTTGAACATAAACACCATAAAAAAGATAGCACCTTTGCTCATGAGGTGATGGTCAGAGCTTCTGCATCAGCCACTCATTAGTGGTGGGGTGCTGAGTGCGGCAGGATGGCAGAAAGAAGATGAAGCTAAGGCCCCGTCCACACGAAGTCAAAACGAACACGAAACGCTGATATTTTCCAAAACGTTTGCTGTAAAGACGGAGACGTAAAATAAATGTGAGCGTCCACACGAATGCATGAAAACGCTGCAAAATGTATGCCAGGCCTGTAAGTGGCGCTGTGGTGCCAAAGCAAAAATAAGCGACGAAATATTGGGCATGCGCACTAATATTTATACATGGTTGCCCTGCGGGTCCAAATTTTGATCGTTAAGTCAAATTCAGGTGCTGAACTATGTCGTCGATATTGCTCTGTTCTTCCTGGAGATATTCCAGAAGAAGAAGATTCTTTTGTAAGCCCGACAGCAGGGTGAGTAGCATTAGCAGCAACGGCGCCATTGTTGTTGTGATACTGTGTCGGGCATGCGTGTTTAGAGGCGACGCCATGACGCATGCGTGTAAAAAAAAAAAAAATGCGGTTAGAGCGTAAAGATGGAAACGCGAAAACGGCGTTTCGAAATCTTCCCACTCTGAAGGCTGAATAAAAAAAAGATCGTTTACAGACCCCCGAAACGACGGCTTCGTGTGGATGAGAGGCTGGTTTGGTGAAAAATTTGTGCGTTTAGGCCAGGATTCGTCTTCGTGTGGACGGGGCCTAAAAATATAAAGTCACAAACATGAAGAAAACTGAAATGACTGAAATGTCCACAAACGGAGGAGCTCTGTCGATTTTAGACAGAAAAGTACGTTATACAAATAAAGATAATTTTACATAGGACACATTTCAATAAAGTATTCTTTTTTTTATAGAGATAATGCTACGTTCAGACTGCACACAGCAGAAGCAGCAAAAACCAATTGATGCTTTTAAAAGTTTAGTTCTGACGCATGGCTGAAGCATCTTTGCAGCTCCACCTGCGCGTTCCAAAGTCGGTCTGATGCACGTTGGGTGGAGCTACCCTATACTTTTTTTTAACAATGACAGATGAAATCGAGAGAGTTGCTTGGCTAATTTTAATGAATGATGCTACGTTCAGACCGCAAGGGCTGGAAGCAGCAAAAAAACTTTTCTTGCTTCATTTTTGATGCTTGTCCACATTAAGGTAAGATGTGCATCAAGTGCAATTTTTGTCGCTGCTGAAGCTTGTCCATTAAAGTGTGTCCAGATGCTTCTGCTGCTCCTGTGTTCAGTGACATAGAGCTTTGCGCTATTTGCTGTTATAAGTTGGTAAAAAAGTGGTTTTAATATGTTTGCGAGTAAGAAAGTCCACCTGAAAAATTCATCCATGCAGTCAGTTTAACAAAATTACAATCCTGCCTTTTAAATATTCTTTCCCTGTCTGAGGCGCTCAGACCCCCGTACACCGATGGTACGCTGTCACTGGGAATCCCCTTTAACGGCATCCTCTGACCCGGTGGTCTCTTTGCAGTTTTCTGCTACTGTTCGCGGTGACTAGAAGGCGTTTTTCACGTACGTCATCCAACCTGTAGGCACCAGAATAATAAAATCTAACATACTTTGCCGGTAGGCTTCGACATTTTAAGTTGATTTAGGCATTAATAAACTGTTTCAGAGGAGTGATCCTAGTGATCTGTATCATCAGCGCTGTGTCTTTTTCTTGCATCAAAGCAGGAAAACGGTTTTGAATTTGAATTTTGCGATGAGCAGCAAAATTCACTTTCCAACTCCAGCAGCTGCTTCTTCTGAAGAGTGTCATGTGCCTCAGAAGCTTGTTAGGCGCTGCTTCAGCTACTCGCTGCAGGACCTTTTGCTGTGCCTTGATGCACGTCAACCATTGACTTGCATGTAAACTTGCTGCTTCGTGCATGCGGTCTGGACGTAGCCTAAGAATTGTAAATACCATGGAGAACTAATGAAAAAAAAAATATTACAGTAAACACTGATTTTCATTAGTGTAAGATGTTTAAATATTAACTAATGAATGTCTAAAGGGCTGGTTATACACTCGCAGCAGTGTGTCGCAGTAAGCTTGTCGGAGGTATGATGCAGATATTTTTGATTTATGCCCAATTTTAAAGTGTGGTCTGTGCTTTTTTTATTCCATGCCACAAAGCAAGAGGGACAATCACCATCTAGCTGTTTGTTTAGATACGGCAGAGGCGGTGAGGAAGTGGAAAAATGCAAGGGGCAAGTTTGTGAGGCAACATGAGGGCGAAAATGAGCGGAGATCCAGGTGGAAAAGGGTCCTAGAGTTCTCATGCTCCTCGCTCTTCTACACCTATCATAAAGTTAGACCCCCAAATAGAATTCTTCAACATTCATTTTCTTGTTATGGTTTATGTTTAAACACTGAAACACTTATCAAATAACCTAAGGAAGGAGGACAAGAGTTCTTAGATTCCTTTTACTAATGATGAGAGCAGGCAGAGATGTCCTAAGTTACAATCTACCACTACTCTGAAGCCTCTCTGCTGATTTCCTTGCTCTTTTTTAGAAAAAAGGGAGTCCCTAGTTACGATAGATCACACCTGAACTCTAAAGGAATGTGTGAGGAGTAAGTTACAGCGTGATACAGGGATAAACATACATTTCTGCATGCAGGCAGTGACCTTGAGTTATATACATGAAAAACATTCCCTTCCTGGCACCTGCAAAGGAGTCCTTTCAGAAGAGTCTACTAAAGATAATACAAAG